CCCCCACTGCTCTAGGCCAGGTTTCTTTCTCCTGCCTCGACTTCTAGGCTATAGTTCTTGCTGCCACACTATACACAGGCCCCTAATTTGAGTTTCTTTTCCTAGCCCCCTGATTCATGACTTTACTCAGCACCTGCTTGCATACATAATGAGGGCTTGGCCAGGCTCCTACTCTCCTATGACAAGTGTATGGTGAAGGCTTAAAGGAAAGAGACAGTGCAGTATGGTTTGCAGGGAATCCAGGAAGGTCAGAACTCTCTTGGAGCTAAGACAAAGACTTCTCTGGACTATCCATGTTTATTGGGTCCTTAACAATTCAGTGAGGTGCAGGACGTGGAAGGCAAATCCGCAGCAGAAGCCCAAGAAAATGAATACAGCCTTGAAAAGTTAAAACAAAGGTATTCGAGGTAGTATATCTTGCTAATTAAGAGAACTGTCTTATCTCTAAAGTTAGCCATTACTACCCTGGAATAGGGGTGAGAGTTAAATGTCTTCAGCTGCGGTCTTATGGTACCTTCAGGGGCTGTGCATATGAGCTCAAACAGCCAGAATGCGCTGGGTGTATTCTTTTTTAAAGAATGATTGTGGCCAGGCATGGTGGTGCATGCCTGTAATCCCAGCTCTTGGGAGGCTGAGGCAGGAGGATTGCTGTGAGAGCAAGGCCAGCCTGCTACATAGTGAGTTCAGAACTACTTAATCAGACCCTGTCTCAAGAAAACAACACAGGGCTGGGGAGATAGTTCAGCATTATAAGTGCTTGCCTGGTAAGCGCAAGGTCCTGAGTTTGATCCCCTATACTGGAAAAACAGAAGTGTTAACTGCAACCCACTAATTCGATTTCATGACTGTGGTAGTTCTACCATTGTTTTGGGGACTTAACATTTTAGTCACACTGAATATTGACATTAATCCTGTTCAGTATTCAGTATATATTCAGGATAACTAGCAGGTTAAACTGGGACTGCTACAGTTACTGTGAGATTATTCATTTTCTTTAAATCTCATTTAAACCATGCTTACTACTTCAGGAAGAGGTTGTTTGTACCTTGTTTTATCAGTTTACTGTCAGCATTTGCAGACTGTCTTCCACTTGCCATGTATGGTTAGTACTTTGTTTTCATTTATATGTTAAGTCCATATAACTTAACTAGACCAGTAATTCCAACTAGACCAGTAATTCCACAAGGGCAAAGATTCCGTGTCCTGTTTCTTGCCACCTTCCAGTTTCTTTCCTTCATGTACCCCGTTGACACATTAGCCAATTATCTGTTGACATGTGAACCTAGCAGGGAATAGGCTCTTCTGCGTGCCATTTGTCTCCTGTTTCTCACCCAACTGTGCCCATCTGATTTCTTTACAGACCCAAAACTTCTGAAAGAAGAGCAAATACCAAACGCCCAGATTTTCACCAGAAGCTTTGAGGATGGCCTTGGTTTTGAGTATGTGATGTTCTGTAATGATGCCGAGAAGAAAGTCGTGTGCTTTTTCCAAGGAGGCCCTCACTTGCAGGGAACACCCGGGTAAGAATGGCCTCCTCGCAGTGCAGATCTGAAGGACTTTACCCTATAGATCCCTCGTGTGTGCAGGGATGCAGAGAGGACATTTAAATGGTAATGTACAGGTATATTTATTGACACTGAAAGATGTTTATAGTGTATTATTAAAGTATGTATAATCTATTAATATTGATTAACATTTTAATATGCTACTATTTTGTTTGGGGGGTTGCTTTTTTTTTTAAATATTCTTTTTTTAAAAAAAATTTTTTTAACATTTATTGTGTGTGTGTGTGTGTGTGTGTGTGTGGCCAGCTCAGCCCACCAGGGGGTGCGGCTGGCTGGCATGTGGTGCTGGGGGATCGAACCGGGGTCCCTGTGCTTTGCCAAGCTTGTTCCAAGTAGGTGCTTTAGACCACTGAGCCATCTCTCCAGCCCTCCTTTTTTTTTTTTTTTTTAATTTTTGTATTTTAGGAAAGGGTCTATAGGGTGTTCAAGGTCTCACTACTATATCAGACTCCATAGTGATCCGCTTGTGTACAGCCTCACAAGAGTTGGGATTACAGGTGTGCACCACCACACCCAGTCCCAATTGCCATCTCAGCACACCCCAGGGGCAGGGCCAGCACAGCAGGCCCGGGGATCAAACCCCTGGCCCCTGCACCTGCTTGCAGGCAGTTTAATCTGCTGAGCTATTTGGTCGGTCCTCTTTTTTTTTTCATTTATGTATTTGGTGCAGGATCTAAACTATGCAGCTCAGACTCATAGTGATTCTCCTGTTTTTAGCCTCCCCAGTGCTGGTTATTATAGGTGTATGCCACTATGCCCAGACTCAGTTGCCAGCTCAGTGTGCCCCAGGGGTAGGGATGGCATGACATAGGGGACCAGAGATCAAACCCTGGTCCTTCTACTTACCAAAGCAGGCACTTAGTCCACTGAGCTATGTCACTGGCCCTTTTTTTTCTTTCTTGTCTTTTTGGGACAGGGTTTCATTATGCAGTGCAGGCTGGCCTTGAGCTCATTTTATAGCCCAGGCTGGTCTTGGACTCTAGACAATCGAGCCTTAGTCTCTGGAGTGCTAGGATTACAGGCGTGCACCACCACACACGGATAATAGTATTGTAAACACAGGCAATTAAGTATAACTTAAGGGACTGTCATTAACATATGAACAGTCTCTTAGCCCTGATTGAATGAGAGTGGTATGGGTCTTCTACTTATCTGTGTACCCTAAATTCTAAAACAATGCATGTGTATAGTTTTATTTAGTAAAAATATGAATTTTCTAAATTATATTTTAGCTTTTTGTGTGGTGTGATCTGACTGAATTATGATTCTGTCATAAAGGCCTAAGACCACACTATTGAGATATAAACACAGTAACATTGGAGACATGGGTAGGACTTGACAGTGAGTGTACTGCATATGGACTAAGTGGACCTCTCCTAAGTAAATGAGGGAAAATGCTCAGATTATCCC